ATATTACTTCTCTTTAAACGCATTAACATCGACCATCCTGTTGGTCTCAAGCATTTTTGTTCCTTCTGCTTCAAATTATGCAGCAAGAAGCTCCGCTTTGATTTAAAAAGAGGAAGTTAAGAGAAGAAAAAGCTTCTGATGAGTCTGCCACCTTTACACAGCAGTCGTGACTTTATCGTGCTTTGTCATTTTAGACGAGGCCGTTCATGTTTCCAGTCATGCCATCACTCTGCCTTTGTTTACATCATGGAGTGAGTGACTGGTTTTGTTTATTCAGGTATGATAAATCATGTGTTTGTACTGACGTGCACTCCACGTAGAGCAGGCTGATCTTGCAGTGGCACCGCTGGCGGATCATCTGGCTGCAGGGGGGGCAGGCGCCTGGGTGACAGGGGCGGGGGCAGGAGTGAGGGCAGCCGGATGGGCGGGGCTTAGAGCAGCCCTCCTCACACACCTCGCACTGCAGAGAGATGAGATCAGGTGAAGCAACCAGTAGGATGACTGTGAGTAACAAACACCAGAACACTTCAGTTTCTCACAGGTCGCGGAGTTCCACAGGGCTCTGTTACCGGTCCTCTACCTTTTAATTACTAAAATATATACATGCTTGCAAAAGCACAAGGTGCCTCATATTTAACAGCTGTACTCTATAAATTACCTGTTTAAATTTTAATTGTGCTTACAGATTGTATTATTAAGGCCTGGCTTCTGTAACTGACAGGTGGATGATGACATCACCTATTTGGAGTCCCCGGACGTGACCTCGGCGCATTGGAGCATTTTTAATGCAATTATCTGACCAATAACATGGCTGCTGTGTTTAACTTTACCAACAGGTGGTTCAAGACGTCTGAGCTCCAGTTTTGGTGAAATTTGAGGATTTATTTGAATATTAGAGCACCAGTTACCAGGTTCCTGTGCGATGGCAGAATCCAATGGGTAGTGTCATAGTGGCTGTTAGTGGAGACTCAAAATTAAACACAATATTTCCAGGATGTTTGTGATCATACTGGATGATGTTTTGTTGGTGACTGATTTTCATCCTCTTCCAATAAGATACTGTTACTGATGAAGTCTAAGTGTGAATGTATTGAATGTATTGCTGCAAGGTGCCGCCAGCAGCAGCACTACATCCTGTAGTCCAGGTCGTGTTTTCAGTAAAGTACAACATGAGTGTTTAACACTTTAACAACAGAGTAACTAAATCTTGTAATAAATTACATTTCAGTCCTGTTGACCTTCATCGGGGACTTGATTGCAATTCCTTGAATGTGTTAGTGGTAACCCAGACAGTGGGACTTACATTTCACTGTAAACATCACCACCGTCAGGCTGCAGCTCCAAGCAGCTCATACCAGACTCAGTGATTTTAACTGTAATGTAAAGGCCTGTTAACTGCACTCCTTCACCTGCTACACCCGTCGCACAGTCAGGTGATCATAAACGTGTAGTTTGTCACATAAAACAAAACTATAATACATTTCCTGTTGGGAGGTCGTACTCTTGGGTTGCTGTGTATAACCAGCTGCTTACGGCCCTGCTTTT